CATATCCCAGCATTTCAGCGTTTCCAGCGGCCCGGGTCTTCGTATGTACGTACGCGCGATCGTTATCTCTAGTTACGTACATGACAGCTTTGTTTGCCCGGACGGATATTTGCCCAACGTGTCCAAAGCGACGAAAGTTCGAATTGCGCCGGTCAAGATTGCCGTGAGACTCGCCCCGCGACATTCAGATAACAAACGGCGCAAGCACAACTCGGAGCGAGCAATCGCCCGTCGAGCTAACAAGCTCGAAACTATCGACAATGGCCGAATCGGCCCGGTGGCGCAAAGTGAATTTCTTTGGCCGTGGGAGTTTCAAGTATTTTGAAGTGCGCGGAATAAGCCCGCTCGTGCTTTCCGAAGAACACGCGCGACATGTACACACGTTAGAAAAAGGAGAGAAAACAAACACACACAGAGGAGAACTTAAAGCGTCCTTGTGCAAGCTGATGTTGACATCGGGTCGTTAAAGGTTCTTAATTACTTTGAGATTGGATTTTTCCTCGGGAGAAACGTCGAGGCAACGTTACCCTTTGTACTCATAAGTGGTTAAGCATCGGGACAAGTTTTTGCAAATTAATTTTTATGCACATAGACGCGATGGAACGTACTTTGGACCTTTCAGTTTAAAAGTGAGACGGCTCTCACTCAAAGAATCAGTTGCCTCAAGTATGGAAGAAAATTATGTAATCAATTACCTCAAGTGTGGAAGAAAATTATGTAATTAGTTACACACATATTTTAAACATAATTAAAACAAGATCTGTAGGAAGGGAAAAGACCAAATTCTTCTACTCTCTATGAAATATATTTTCTTATGTATTTTCTCACGCAATTTTACGAAAGTTGACTGATTAATATATTATTTCCCTAAATGAACGCTAAATATGAACTCTACAGTACAAAAAAGATAAATTTACGTTTCAACGGACACTCTCCAATTTTTCCACTTTTCCGTTTATGTCTCGCTCGCGACAATACTCGTATATTGTGAAATAATCCATAATTTTCAAGAGAAATATGTACGTGGATTCTATTGTATAAAATTCCGCTGCAAAATGGAAATACATTTTTGCTCTGGTCTAGACCTTTTTTAAAACCAAAACTTGATTTAAATAGCAAATTTTTAAACTATGTTGCGCAAATTTTTTGAATGCTTTACGCATTTCGTTTCACATGTTACGTTGCGATACGATTCATGGAAATGCCGCGCAGAACGGTTGAATATTATACGTTTGGTATTTACGCGTATATATCTTTTTTTACCTTTTATTCCTAACGCCTCGACGAAATTGCTATCTGAATCTGGGAAAATAAAACTGTCGAAAAATGAATTTTATCGACCAATTTACCAACACAGAATACCGAACAATTTAACATTGGTCAACGGTGTAACCGGATACAGCGAAACATAAATGTGATAAACCGATTGGAATGCAATTTCGATTATTATTAACCACGTTGTTATTAACCATGTTAGCATTGTTAATCTAGAACGTTTGGATTTCAACGGTATTTCACACACAGCAAGGTATACTAAGAAAGAGAGAGAAAAAGATAAGACGATAATATGATCTCGCCGCGAAGTTACGTATCCATTTCACGTCCTGAAATGGAGAAGCCATAATAACCGTGGATAAAGGACTAGGAAGAATGAAGAGGTTGTCACAAGGAGAGACATCCGGATCGCGCGCGCGCGCGCGATCGCAACACCGTTTCTTTTTTATCGATAATTTATCAGCGTCCCGTGGTGCAGCTCTCGTTAATAAATCTTTCCCTCGCATAGGGAATCTGACTCCTCTCGTACACGACGTTACCCACGGATACATATAGTCGACGACAATATCGCCAAAGATTATTAGTCAGCTGCAGCCATGATAGCTGCATTTTTCCTCGCCCGTTACTACACGTTCTCGGTCGTCGCGTCGTCGTTCGACTCGCCACCGCGACATCGGTACCGTAAAATGTTTAGAATTTATCCTGTTAATAATTCTCCTTCTCTCCGGGACCACCGTGGCCCGTCTCATAGAATCTCGCACACGACGACGCGCATAACCGACAGTTCGAATCACTTTTACGAACCGAGCCGCGTAATTACACCACTGAAACAGGTCTGTTAAGCTGACAGCCGCTTTAACACAATCGAAAGCCACTTGCACAATAATTAAGTTTTTCCTCGTAGCAAATTTCTTGCTGATTCCAACATTTCTCTATTCTAGATGCTCTATTATATTTTTAAAAATGTGCCTCTGTCAGTTTAAGAATAAAATTACCAAAGTCCTATAAATAAAACCAATTGTGAAAAAATCATAAAAAACGAAGACGTATTTACACGACGTTGGTTTAATGTTAATTTATGCTCTCTATCAAAATTGTATACAGGTCAGGCACAACATTATATCGATCGCTCAATGTGTCGATAGCAAAATTTAGTTGCATACTCGTGAAGCCAATCGCTCAAGTCGTCACGATAAGAATGCTACTATCATTTGCTCGAAACACCGTTTCCAACTCGCGCAAACATTTACGAGAAGAATACTGTAACTGCACTGCAGAAATTAATCACGTGTCTCTGGCGAACGTCATCGGAGCGAATAACAATTTCCATGTACGTTCGTGCATCTATCATTCTATTCATCCTTTTATGACAAGAATACTATTGTATATCTCACCTCACCCTCCCCCTCCCTCTTATTCTCCTAAACGACTGCGAGCTCATTGTTTAGCACTTCCCTCATTAATAACGTCTTATTATTACGACCGACGATACCGCTTTTGACACGACAACAGCACCGACTATAGCACATTTAACCTCTCACCTTTAACCTAACCTCTCAGACGATTTTTTCGAGAAATCAAACCTTATTAAATACGCAAATCAACATTCGCAAGATTCGCGTTACATTCTAAGATCGAAATTTATAATCGTGAATTACTCACGATCTTCAATTGAGAATTAATTGATCACCAACGTATGGTTGATTCTATTGATTGTTATTTGGCTGTTTAAATCAATATTTCTTATTGAGTGAAACAGGTACAAGTACAAATTGACGAATTGAGGTTCGCGACGCTATAATTATTTATCAACTAAGGAACTATGAATATCGACCTGAATTTCGACTCAGTTATCTCTCTATTCTCGTTTATCAAACGTCTGTTCAAATCAGACATTTCCTGCGTAATAAATGATTTGACGTACCTGCAAGTACGGACGGCGTCCACGTCTCGACGTTCTGCATCCCGCTGTCCCTGTATCCTGCCTTCATGATTTAGTATCCTGGTTTCCGGTTACTCCATCATGCACTTCACATATTCACTCGCGGTACGAACATTCGCCTAAATTCAACCGAACACGACACTTTTCGACAGCACGATTCGATCGAGCACGACACGATCCGACCGAAAGTTAGGTTAGGTTAAGTTGACGCGTCTTAACCAACGCAAGACTAATGAGAGTCCAACTGAATGTTTCGGGACCAACTGAGCATTTTGACCTCGGGACGAGAGTTATAACCTACGAGACAAAACACGCACACGCGAGGTATCGCGAGATGTTTACGTCGTACGTCAATTTAACGTGTCAATTTAAAGCGTACTGACTTACGACCGCATCGTTCCGATAGCACCGGACGTGTGTGAAGTTAGCCCCGCACTTTCCGAATTGTGCTGCATTACGCCGTATTGTGCCGCAATCCGCAACTCTGTGGGTGCGTTCCGTTTCACGCATTTATCTATAGTTTATGTCACGTATACTATAAAAAATGCGCGCATATGCGTGAAACGGAACGCACCCTAAAACTCAAAGCATACTCAAGAAAATTAAGAAAAACTAAATTTTTGGTAGCCCCGCACATTTCGAATTTTGAGAGTTTCTTTATTGTGCCGTATTCTGCTATGTTTGTGCCCATGCCGCAAACGCGAGACCGATAACTTCAATAACATTTGAGAAAAAAAATAAAAATGAAAATCTGCCAGCCTCCCACTTTTGTCCGAATGAACCCAATTTTTGTCTGTGACTTCCTACTAATTTGTGCTGCGTTGTGCCGTTTGAAGAAACTGAATATCTCCTTTCGTTCAGTAGAAAAAAATGTTAAAATTAAAATACAAATTAACGAATAACTTTTTCTACAATACATTTATCTCAAGTCTGCAAGTTGTGCTAAATTGTGCTAATCGAGTACAATAAGAAACCACTTCGAGATGTGCTAATTAAGCCCAAAAACTTTTTTTAAAATGTCCTCAGATAGCTGGTTTTCGTGGTACGAGCATCCAAAGAAAGCAACGGAGAAACAGATTAGAAAAGAGTGTCGAGGAGGCAGGCGGAGGAGGGGAGAGTGAAAGAGGAATTATTATTATAGGGGAGAGGGAAAGAGGAAACTATTAGGTGAATGTAAATATTTTGACGGGTCTTTCAATGATGTCATAATTGACTTTGCTTTATGATAACTCTTACAAATATACAGACGTATGATATACCAAAAATAATACAAAACAATAACGATTACTTGATAAAATGAATAAATTGTTTTTCATAGAATTATATAGCCCATATTTTTCTATCGCGAAATTCATCGAAACTCTTGCACTCGTCCAACATGATATGGCCAATATAACGTTACATTTCGAGATTCTCCATTGGTCCCACGAATTTCAGAACTCGCAGAGTTAATATAGATTGGAAATGTTGAAATCTCGACTTGAAGTAACTTCGTAACGTGATTACCGCGATCTTGGCTCACGCTTTTCTACACATATTGTATCGAATTTTTCAACGCGACATTATTCGACGCGAATACAACTGACAATGAGACCGGATCTTTCATGCTTTATCCCGCCGGTAATGCTCAAAACTAATTTTCCAGAGGACTTGAACTCCCCATTGTTGTCCATCATAAAAGCGAGAACGCAACTCGCTGATATAACTCTGATGGCACTTTAATGGGGGACAAAGGTTTTCAATATACATCGGTACTATATTTGCATAATCCGTGTGTGTTATTTATTATAAATATTATACATATTACCACGCAATGTGCTTAACCGAAACTTTAATCTCGTTTTAATTATTACGGGTGGATTATTTACGGGTAGATGATATCTATACACATTACGCGACAGTAGTTATATAAATAGCATAATATATTAATATATGCATTTAATTTACATTATATATATATACAAATGAATATGAGCGCATAAAGTAGAGATCTGCACACGACCCGTAACTCTAAATGTAATCGTACCATCGTGCGTCCCGATTCGTTAATTACGGGTCCAATTTTTGTATTAATTCGGAGAGATGTTCTTCGGTTGAATGGCCATGTTGGGATTACGCAGAGCGGAAACGAGACGAGTATTCCAGATACGGCGTATCCGAGAACGACTGTTAACTTGATTAGTATCTGGTTCTTTTTTTCAGGATATAATCTGGATAGTAAGGTGCCGCCTGCCAGGATCGCGGCAGCAATTCGCTCCAATAAATCGTTCGTATCGGCTGGCTTTGAGACTTTCGCTCGTGGTCCTCGTCCTTTATCACCCATCCCTTGCAAAGCATCTCGCGAAAGACGAGCGCGACGAAGTACAGAAATTCCACAACACTGATGAGACTGAAGCCGATGAAGACGCCACATATACCGCCGATATCGCCTGCAAAACGAGCAGACTTTATAGCGCGGCGCTTTGAAAGCGCGACGGGATAAGGGCAATCCGGCGAAACGGTCGCGAATTTTTTATCGTCGCTCTTAAAAGGCCAAGAGACGTTAGGCTGTGCTGCGTTCGCTACGAATGCGATAGCGGATTTTTACGGAACGATACCGCCGCTCTTCTCCGCTCCTTGCCCCGCTTTAGCCAAGCTCGCCATTCTTTAATTAATGCTTGTGCCAGGTCGAATAGAACGAAGTGCGCTTCCTTTTTTATAGCGACTTCGTAACAGCAAGGACAGGGGTATAATAGGACTAGAGAAATTTACGTTCTCATATATATTAAAACACTCGTACTCGCGCCTACAAGAGAGCCCGATAACCCTATCGTCAACTGCGGACAAATACAGAATTATTGTCATAAGTAACGCATTAGTGAGTTAGTAAACTAACGTGGAAAGGTAATAACGGCGCTCTCTGTAACGAGAATTCGGATAAACGTAGAATTTATGATAGTGTCGAAATTAGCGTCGAGATGAGAACGACTGGCCGACTATTAGTTTTAAACATTAACCATCCTTTCCGATTTTTCTAAGCTGTATGAACTGCTGAGTATATATATCCAAGAAAATAACACTCGACAAAATCGGAACGAAACGATGCCCTTCGACCGAATTCCCGCCAATATTCACAAATATAAAAAAAATATTACAGATACGAAGTTGCTTCCTTCGTAATTTTCTTTTTCTTATATTAGTAGTATTTAGTGGTATAAACGAGATATAAGTGAGCTTCGTGCACAGTTTCACAGCTTAATCCAAAATCGATATCACAATTTTCTCCATACACGAACACATAAATATACGTATATATATATGCACACGCATATATATATATATAATTTATATATGTGCTATATATATACATACTTTTACATACATATATATATTTTTACTGTGCTATATACATATATATGTTTTTTTTAATATCGAATATTCCAAATGGCAAGAATGATCACATGAACGTCCAATAAATCTTTTACAATATTCAAGAATATAACTCTCTTTTCAGTAATTTGCTCGCAAAGTGAACACCAGCAACTAGAAATTGTGCTCTACGTGAGGGAAAAGTATTATCATTTTGCCGCTGTTGCACGCGAGAACCAGCTAAAGTGCAGAAACGTTTCATGTAGTCGGATATTAAAATTCCATTTTTGAGAACCCTCGGGCATGCCGCGGAAGGTGCGGACGGAAAATTTCCCTTTCTGCCTACTTTGCCTCCTCTCATAAAGACATTTCTTTTCGCATGTTCTGCGTCAATTGTAAAAAGGGTTTCTCCATTACTACTTCGCACCGCGAATGTAACGACAGATTTTATTTACAACGTGATTATAATTTACTTCGAGGAATTCATTTTCTGTGATACACGTTCATCTAATTATAAGTTGTAATATCAGAAATTGCAATCCGATTTTTTTCTCTAAAATTTCGTTTGATTATTATCGGTACGAGTACGATTTGTTATGTAAATTTTCTATTGGTCTTTCAGCTTTAACGGAATTTGCAGGATTAATATACAGCCAAAATTTCAATAGAAAGTCGTAGCTAGGAATTCAATTAATTGAGATTTGTGTGCTCCCATGAAACCGGATAAAATTATTAAACTTATAATTGCAAGATTCTCACCGAAGAAAGGTGAATAGAATGAGAAGAAGATCCTTTTCCGCTACGTTACCGATTTTACATTCAAATTACTAAATTATATTTTACTGTAACTCAATATCCTTAGGAATATAATTATCAAAATTGACTTCGCGACGAAATATCGAAGTTAATATGTAAAAATCTCTGAATTTATACGGTAAAACATCGTCGAGAACTCCAAACTGAAATGGGATTTCTCGTCGATATGTACTTACTCATGAGTTCGTACCAGTAATAAACTACATCCTGTCTCAATCTGAGCGAGCCGTATCTCGAGAAATATATATGCAACAGCGCTTGATTCTCGATGGTGACGTTCCATCTGAAATTTAATTGAACAGCTCACATATCTCGTTGCCTCTTTTGGGAATTGCCATGCTGGAAAAGATTTCGCATCCGCTGAACAATATCGACGATATACTTACAAAAAGTCAGTTTGGTACCGACCAGGAGACATGTAACTTTTTGAGCTCAGTGCGTCATACGAGATATCCTCGCAGACGGGATAGCAATTGTGACAGTGCAGGCCCCATTCTTTTTTCGAGGTTTCAACCTCTTCCTGCTTGTCTTCATTAGGATAAACTGACCACCATTTACCTAGTGTCAATTATATAATTATCCATTATAATGATGATTAGCTTGTAATGAAGTAATTAATTACAATATCGGCAAATAACCACGAGATAACAAGATTTTCCTCAGTAATAAGCAATAACGACTCATCGTTTCTTGACTAACAAAAGAGACGAATTATTGCTTCCTCAAATGTGTAACGGTAAGAAATTACTTTTGGAAAAGTGTTTTTCCTGACGAGTAACCAGAATTTCGAAAATAATGCCTAATGCGAGAGAGGAAAGGCCGTTGTTTCGAAGCATAGTGTGCTGATAACACTTACTCTTGTACCGCGCCAAGCATTCCAAGTCCATGTTGTTGCATATACGAAATGAATCTAGATTACATAACGAAGCATATATCACGCGTGAGACGTAAAATAAAGTTAAGATGCATTATACCCGAGCTTTGCTTGCGCTTTACCACGTACATCTAACGAATAAAGAATCTCCGTGAGATTGTTATTTAGGAAAGTCAGAGTTTTGCGAAACTATCCAAAACTCTCGCGACAAAACGCATCTTTCGTATTCGCAGTATTCTCAAAATAATTGCGTAACATCCGAATTCGAAATCCAATCCTAATCGCAACTGTATTTCATCCCGACCGCAGCTTCCACGACCGGTGGTGACCGGCGACAAGCAATTACGAATCTCCGATTTTGCAAGTGGTGAAAAAGCCGCCGAGGACTCGGCAATTTCGAAAGCTCTTCGCTATGTCGCTATGTCGCGTCGCATCACTTTCACACGACCACAGTCACAGGTGAGAAAGAGTTACGTCATCATCGGCGTTCAGCCGCGCCGTCAAACAAAAGTAGACAAACAGAATATCGCACTCCGAAAGTTCGCGCGGGGAGCGGCGAGAGAGGTACGAAGGGGAGGGGAGAATACGAGATAGGGGAGAAGAGGGGAATACACACTTCGAGCCGGTGTATGAAGGTGAGAAGGACGCCGGGATATGTGCGCACGTCGGGCGGTGGTGCGCGTCATTGCACGTGTTGTTGATTAATATGGAGAACGGAGGAGGCAACTCTCGCGCGCGCGCGAGAAAAACGAGTCCAAGCACGTCCTGCGCGCTATCGATGGAGCGCGAGAAAAAGAGCAATCGGGCCACGACGGCTTTAAAACGGAAAGAACGGAGAAAGGGCGAGAATGAGAGATGAAGAGAGCGCGCGAGTGAGTGAGGGGCAGAGAGAGAGAGAGAGAGAGAGAGAGAGTGAGTGAGTGAGTGAGTGAGTGAGCGAGCGAGCGAGCGAGAGAGGAAAGATGGGGGAGGGCTGAGGGCGAAGGGGAAACTCTCGGCGCGTTCCGCTTTCAACGCGTTCCTCTCCTTTACCTGACCCCGGCCACGGTAAGTTAATCCTACACAGTGGGTGCCTCGCGCGATCCGCTTTAATGCTTTAAGCCACCCGTGGTAAAGCCTCGTTAGAAAGCTCGCGAACGTACGCTTCGCAATGCGGTGTAAGCGGCCGGCGTTCTTTTACAGATTGCCGCCCACGCCTCTCGACTTCGTGATAGAAGAAAGAAATCGCCCGAGATGTAGGAGGTTACGCGGATCCGAGGAAACTCGATTTGTCCAATGAGATACGCTCCCGGTCCTCGCGCCCGCGTATCGCCCGTCTGAATCTCACTCTTGGCCCCGTTGACGATATATCTGACTGATTAGAAAAGAAAGAAAAGCGGAACGAACGTTTCTCGCGTCTCGAAAATCGCCGCGCGATCGATTCTCGCGGCCGGGATATCGTTACCACGCACCGCTTGCGTTTCCGTGTTGTTCTGAGGTTGTTCGATTTGTGATTATGGCTTATTATTTATGATAATGACAGGATCTGATCCCAAGTAAAGAAGAGGGAGAAGATTGCGACGAAAATTGCGACTCGAATAAACGTGTGTACTCTCTTAAAACGACGATTTAGGTCACGATTCGATCAATTATTAGCGCGAGTTTTCCTTTTCCGTCGATTCTTGTGACAAGAAGAGAAGGAAAAACAGGGGGGGGGCTCTCGAAATGCCGATGAATGCGAGAAGGATATGGAGGATTGGAGGGAAATCTTTTTGGCTTTGGAAGATACCTTGCCCATGACGTTATCGCGATGGTTTCCTCGCGCGGATTGATTTCCCGCTTCTCCCCATTTATTGATTCCGCGATTATCGACGGACGCGGATATACAGAGTGGTTCTATCGGCGAAGCGAAAAGCTCAATGAATTTTCCGTCGTATCAATGAATTTGTTCCCATAGCAATCTTATCAGAACGTAACAGCGTTCCGCGTGCAGGCTGCCGTTTCCGCCTACGTATTAATCGCGTTCGGTAACTCGCATCCGCGTTAACGGATGATAAGTAACGCGGATTTCATCGCGGAGAATTATTACTACGTTATCCTCCTCCTTTATCCGCCTCCGGCGCGGCGCCGTCGCGAGAACGAGAACCATGCGAAGGTCAAATTGGACAAGGAGGCGCCGAGAGGTGGAAACAAAAGATGCTATTCGCAACGCGATGAGAGAAGATTGCCGGCAATATTGCCGAATCGTCAGCCCGGATAGACGACTACGGTTCGGCGCGGCGCGAAGCGGAGCGGAGCGGAGCGGAGCGAAAGAGCGGCTTCCGATGGAAGCCGCGGTTCCATGGGCGCCGATTTTACGAGTGCCCCGACGTTACCGCCTGTTCTATTAACATCGAAACTCGTTCTCGCTCGGAAATGCGATTCGCCGAACGGGGCCCGATCGAGTTAGTATCGAGAAAGCCGTTTCGTCAGGGGCTTTCAGCCGCGCGATACGATCCGCGCGGCGCGGCTCCGCACGATAGATAAATGAATGAAGTATTGCTCGCGCGATCGTTGCGTTCCCCGAGTCCAGCCGCGCTCGAGAACGAGCTCACTCGTACCCGTCTTCGTTAACGAGATCTGTTCGGTCATCGTCGCGCGCACTGTGTTTTTACACGCTTCCGATGTCTGTGGGCGCTTTAATAGCGGACGTCGGATGAATTTAGCGGAACCGCCGAGTCGTAAACGCAAGATCAAAAGCGCAATAAATGCGCCAGAGTTGCGCGGATTTTACGCTCCCACCTTTATCCTCTACTCTCCGTTCGTTCACAGATACCTTTTCGTTCGTTACCTGTTTGCACCCGTGAATGAAATGACTTCGAGATGTTGACTTGTTTGTTACTTAATATTGTCTACGGTCTTCGGTCTTTTACTTTTCTCTTTTCTTTTTCTTTTTTTTTGGAAGATATATAAAAATAGATAATCAAAGTCTGTCGGGAAAGTGTATGAATGAGAAAGAGAGAGAGAGAGAGAGAGAGAGAGAGAGAGAGAGAGAGAGATTCATGGCACTCTACGCTTTTAATAACTGAAAGAGCGAGCTTCGATATCTTCGCCTATTTGTGTACGAAAGATGTTTTCCAAACGAGTGACTCTGAAACTTCACTCGCGCGAATTGTAATTTAAACTTTCGAAAAGGAAATGTCAGAATCGAGCGATTAAGTTTTCCATTCGCAAAGCTTGTCGGGACTGTGAATAAGTTAGGAGCTAAAAACTCCCGAGAAATGGAATTCACAGCCACCGGCAGAAACGCGAACTGTAAAACCGCAATCGTTAGAGGACGCTTAATATATTACGTTTCCCCTTATGTATATAATAAGACTCTTTCAGCGGCTTTTAAATGTTGCATCGTGCGATAAAAATTCTTGATGAAAGCTTTAATATGCGAACTCCCCGGAAAGAAAGTAAGACTAGTGGAAGAGAGGAGAGAAGGAGAGTTTTAATTTCCAAGGAGCGCGATTGTCAATCTGAGAGAAGGTAGTGCGAATATACTTTGTAAATCATGTCGAAATGAGCTGTTTCAGCTCGAATACCAATACCAACATTCGTGTTTGCCTCGGCGTGGATAAAAGAACGGTCTGCATCCGCAGATTTTCTGGACGTCGTGTATCTTGCAGTCGACGATGCAGTCGCTGTAAGTATAAGATGTGCCGGCGTACAGCGTTCGGATCTCCTTCGAAAAGATACATTTGCGCTTCTTTATGGGGTAGCCTTCGATTGCTCGCGTGCTGAAGAAGGACGATGCAATTATGTCTATGTAAGTTTCGCTGCGCGGAATAGCGAGTATTTCCTTTACGCCTCCGCTGGTCACATCCGGAAAGTCGTGAGGATCGAAAATGATCACCTGAGCAAACAATGTGTGTGTTCATAAAAGTAATTGATTTAGTATAACAATGAAGTGAAGAGCTGGATACAGTCGGGTAAGTGTTCAAACGAAAGGCCTAATGTTTATATATAATTGAACATTTCAAGTTTTTCAAAGTATAAATTGAATTATTATGACGTTCCGAAGATTGCATTCCAGCTCCTAATGAACCTCCTTTTTTGGAGATTTTGCCTTCTAATTGAAATTGCTCGCTCGCACACAAATATCGATATATACATTTATCGTATGTATTAAAAGAAAAAACAATCGTTAAATTTATTTATTTGCAATGTAGTTGAAAGATTATACCTTATAAGAAGTATCTTTTAAAATACACTGAAATTGTAATGTAAGGCATTAGGAAAACACGCAACATATACAAAGCACAACAAGATACTTTCTTGCGAATTGAACTGTCAGCTTTAAATGTGCTCTCTCAAAAACAGCGGGGTCTTTTATTTTCACATTTTTTGTTTTTTAGATGGATATATAAGCGGAAAAGTAGGTCGCGTCGAAACAGAAAGTTACAAATATTTGACTTTGAAGCATACTTACGCGCATACTTTCTACATAAGTACGTAATGCCGAGCACAGGAATGATAAGGAAACAATGTAAGAATGAAATTTAATCGCAGAAAACACATCTCTAGAATTTATGCGAAATATAATTACTCGGGCATATAAATCATTTGGCTTTTAGAAAAATTGGCTAACCGTTTTTAATCGCGATTTTTTCAGCGAGATACGCATCACAGTGCGCGAAGTAATTTTCTGTAAACTCATTCTGTTTCTCCATTTCTCTCTCGTTATTCTTTCACTCTTCATTCGCCATTTATATTACACGCACTGTAACTTGAATTAATATCTTGCAATTTTGACAAATGAATGACAGTGATATTTTCGTTATGTTCCCGACACGTTAAATGTTTCCTCAAACAATGTTATTAACAAACCCGAGATATATCTGTATATTTCTATTTCTTTTAAATTATTTTTTCGATGGAATCGACGTGACGATGGGAAAATAATTTTGCGAATTGCTAAGCAAAGCGCGCAACATCAAGCAGCTTCGTTTTGCGATATTCGAGGATGGAACATTCGACAATATTCAGTTTCATATATCTGGTTGCCTACTTGATTAGTATTATTCGGTTAAGTTAAATTAGTTATTATAGATGAAACGTTGTCGAGTTACAATGTATGCGCAATGCATAGATCGTTGAATCGGGAGGAAAAGCGGATATGCAAGCATAATAATTGGTAAAATATTCGACATTAATGTAAACATTGCAGATGTATCGTGACTAGAGTTTATTTGCAAGGATCTCAGGTCTTGCAACGCGGTGCGTGTTTCTCTATCTTTCTGGTTTTTTCCTCTTTCTTTTTTTTTTTTTTTTTTACGTCACGCTGCAAAAAGGGTCACCGTAATTTGTGTAATGCGCTGGTCCATTTCCGCAGGTTAATTACAACACAGCTGACATTTTAGCTGAAATACCATAATGCAGCTAGACTGTTACTTTCGCTGCATTTTTATAAACCGGGCTCTCATCGATGTTTCGTTAAAACGCGGAAGTGAGATTGAACTTTGTTTATATTTACTTTGTCGATGAAAAGTATCGATTAACTGTGTACGCATTCGTTGAGCGAACGGTAGTCGTCGATTCCACGAAGCACGGTAACATTCTTTCCTGAGGAAAACTTTATATTATGATTTATTAGCTCTGTGTGAAGAAATATACGACAAAAATAAATAGAACTTTTATTGCGATGTTGCAAAAAACCGGATAATCTTGCGATGCATCCGAAGAGTAGCGGAAGAGAGAGAAGGTGTACGGCAAAAATATCTGGAGAGAGAGAAAGAATTCCCCGGCACGTTTTCGCCGAATACGAGTTCTCCCTAAGTGCCTAAAGTAATACATAGACGCACACACACTGCACCGCAAATATGGCGAAGCAAAGGAAACGCGCGATTATATCGCCACCGCTAATGACCTTCGCGAGCTTTTTTATCGCCGTGCACTATACGTGAATGAAGCACAGGTGGCTTGTAATGGCGTAGTAAGCGCGGGAAAAGTTTAAGACGTGATACTGTTACGGATTGCCCTCATCGCGTCAACAGATTCAACGGACACGATAATTTAGTTCAAATACGTCGTAACGCGCGGGAAACAGTTTTTCTTTTTTATTTTTTTTTATTTATATCAATTTACGAGATAAGCTACTATACTTTCACATTACTTCCCATTAATAATGGGAAAGATGACTCGTTGCGGGAAATAAGATCGCGTGATTTATGTATTCGTTATGTATGATAAATAGCATACACGGCTCGCGTTAAATGTATATTTTTTTTTACAATTACGGGTTTTCCAACAAATTTCGATATCTATGAAACTAGTGATGTAATTAAGATATTGCACAATGCTACGTTTGACACTGCAATTCGCAAATAAACACTCATAAATAACCGTGATCTATTTTTGATCTTGAAAATGTATAGGCGTGTAAATGGAAAAATACAATATTGCACATATATGGCGTGTTTTGAATTATTTAGAACTAATTAACGAGTAATCATCGCTGCAAACGGTGACTAAACGTAACACAACTTTCCAATTATCTCTGTTAAATGCATTTGTTAAGGGCTGAATACATTTCTCGATGTTTCGACGTAGGATTGAATGGTTAACGATTTTTTTAGCACGATAAAGTATCGCGAGAATAAATCTTTATTTCCTTCCCTCTATTAGCCCCTTTTTCATATTCACAATATTCGCGGTAACAAAGCTGAGTTGACCCGTTTTCGCGACTCGAACAGGCTCGAAGATGTTAACATGCGATTCCTCCCCGCAAGCTTCTATCGTACATTATGTATCAGATCCGAGTTATATATCAGAGAAAGATAAATGTTATCGCGATGTATCTGTATATGTTGACGTCCCGTCGCATCTGTAATTTTTTCCACATTATTATTCATCATCAGTAAATAAATATCAATTTTTGTAGATCAACGTGTGCGGGTATTATTGTTGGATTAACTTTACAAATAACAGAAGCGTTGCGCGGCAACGTTTACTTAACTCGATAAAAGTCACAAAGCACTTAATCAAATTTAGAATTACGATCGATAAAACTTTCTGTAATCTCGCGACCGTTTTCCCTATATCCATCTCGAACGCGCACGCGATCGCAATCTTTCTATGACTGACATTTCAGGAACGCCTTGTACAATCGTACGTCATGTTCCGACCTTCTAACCGATCTAGGCCGAACGAAATCATTTATTCGCTTAATTAAAACGAAAGATTTAGCAGACTTTAATTTCGCGCGGACGGTAAACATAAATTCTCCTCGATGGCAGATTCGATTCTAGCTCGAGAATAGAATGAGCTCCGCGAATGTGGAGTGTTAGAGCTCGCCGTTTAAATTTCTCAAAGGTTTGAAATGATGTTTTTAAACAACACGTTAAATGCCGGCCCTACTTACCTTCCAACCTGCAATAGGCAGCATTGGGTAGAAATAGTCATCCAAAAATGGCTCTATGAAGACCGTTAGACCGCGATCTATCCCAAGATCATATATCTTATATACTTCAATTGGTACCGACCCGTCTTTTATTCTGTCGACAGATATATGTGTCAATTAATAATAAAAAGGTAAGAGAAAAACTAGAGAGATAAATGCAAAATTAAGAGGGAATTTTTCGCTCATTTTATTCTGCATCAGTTCCTACGAATTAAATATTCCCCGTCGCGCGCGAGAGTAGCTCGTAAATTCTTCGTAACTATTTTAGAGCTTCGTCGCATTCGAGATTCCCACCGTAGCCGTACGGCGTCGTCGTTAATTTTTCAAGTGACTCGAACTTAATACTTAATAGCGTTATAGAGTTTCAAATTGAGTAGCCGTCATCGTTTCTGCCTGTTTTCTTTCTCAACGGTGCGAGAAGCCGAGCGATCGATAAGGAATATCGACTTTCGCGCCGCGGCTGGCATTCATCATTCAGGCCGGCATCGATCATTCGTCAGATTACAGTGAAAACATATAAATTCCGCTTGTGTGTGCGAGAGAGAGAGAGAGAGAGAGAGAGAGAGAGAGAGAGAGAAAGAGCGAGATTCAAGTACGCTTCGTTCATTCCACGTTGAAATACACCGCAGCGTCGTGTATTCATGGTACTACTCGAATAAGTCGATTAAATCAGCGCACGTTGTCCACCCTCCGCTCGCCGTGGCCGGGAAATTTGCTGAAAGCAGGATACTCACACGGGAATGTCGTCTTCTTCGCGCGCGTAATTGAAGATGCAGCAGAATCCGTCCTGCGTCTTGCGGAACGCGAAAAGCGTCGAGCAGTTTCGGATACTACCGTGGAGCTTGCATTTCAGTAGCATAGTCGAGCACTGCGGCGACAGCTGGAAAATTCAGTCGCGCGACACGTGTCGCCGTGAATGGCCGGCAATTCCCTGCGCGATAACACGCTTCCCGACCGCGACACGCAAAGTACCGCGCAAATAACGTTCTAATTGATCTCCCGGGGCAGCCTCTCGTTTAACGCAACTATATCGCGCATAAATACAGTTGCACCACCGCGGCGAGAGATTACTGTTTGCTCGAGTCGCTAGGAAGCTGAAAGTTAGGACGGATTTATGCGCGAAACATTCGCGAAAAAGGACGCGGGAGGATCGGAGCGATAATGCGACCGTGCTACTCGCGAAATTTGCATTTGAAATTACGAAATCGCGAAATCGCCGAAATTTTCACTTGGGCTTCCACCGCTATGCCGTCTGTGACATCCAAGATCTAACGGATTCGAAAATATCGTTCAGTTATTACATAGCATGGAAAATCCCGTAGAAAAAGAAAAAAAATATACGTATATTATAAAAATATATATATACATTCGAGCAAATACCGCGGATCGTACCGGATTTGGAACAAACGTCGCTCGATTCTGCATACGTACAGTTTTCATTATGTCGATCATATCGTAATCCTCCTTGTAATAGGTCATTAAAAGTTGATGGACCTCTTCGTTGCGATTTTTGTCCATTTGGAACTCGGACGTGTACTGATTGCCCAATTGGCGAAGCAAGGCGAGGATTTCGTCGACCGACAGATTCGTGACGTTTGCGTGAAAACTGATTTCGGGAAATAACGTTTAATGATGTTACCGGAGGATTCGTGGCGCAAATTGCACTCGAAATATTTTTAATTGGTGCACGATAAGCTGGTGCCGGCCGTGCTGGCACAGACATGACGACGATTTCAATCGAATCGCGCGAGTCTAATGAATTAACCCGGTCGAGACCGCTTAATAAGCGATCGCGAGCAATGAACGGTACTTTAACAGCGTCGTAAAAATTTGCATACTCATGCTCTCCAATTAAGCAATATCGATCAACCGGGTCAAGTTAAGCGAGAACGATTTTCTAAGTGCTGATTTACTTCCCGCGCCGCCGTAAAACGTAATCGCGATTTAACGCTGCCGGTAACGACGGACTGTTCAATTATGCGGTAATCCGCATAAGGATGCATCACCGTGTGTAAGGTTCCCGTACGAGTGATTCGTTTTGGAAAAGCCTCGAGTCGAATTCGGATATTTTCGAGTCGGAATAAGTGTTCGAGCATTTCTCACTGTTATCGTCCTTCAAATTCATCATGCTTGAAAGAATTTGAGAAATTTGCATGCAGATGCAGACACGAAGAGTAAAAACACTCGAAGCGAAATGCATAAAATGTAAAAGATCGCGCAGAAAATTACATTTACGATACGTGCTACTTATTATATTATTATATATGTTAGTTTAAAAGAATTTGAGATAGCCACACGCAAACGTAGATACGAAGAGTAGAAGCACTCCGACTGAAATGCTTGGAGCGTAAGAAGTCACATGCAGGAATTACACGCGAAGGAGCATCGCAAACAAAATGTTCGGAAATACAGCGAGAATTCGCTTAACGCCACTCCTCCGATACTGTTTCGCTATTATAACGCGCTCTCTCGCTAATGCTCGCGGTAAAACGCTAATTTCTCGCCACGGAAAACCGCGAGGTTACTTTAGAAACCCCCGAACTCAGCGGCTTCGAGCGATAATGCGGGGACGCGCATTTCGTGCGCCTCGTGTAACATACACACACGTGCAATTATTAAGCGGTGTCCTAAAAGTTCCAGGCGCTTATGCCCCGACAGCATTAGCCGAGAGGAAGAAAGGGAGAGAGAGAGAGAGAAAGAGAGAGAGAATGAGAAGGGGAGGGGAGGAAGTTCTTCGTATTTCGAGGTGCTTTCTAACGTTGACACGTCTAATGGCTCAAAAATTGAGAATCTCTCGAACGAGATGCGCGCGATGGCTCGTACACGGGCAAAAATCGAGGCAGCATTAATCGACGCGCAGAGCGAAGAGCAGAAATTCGCGGTCGACAAGCTTCGGCGAAAGTTCGGCATCCGGTTCCGAGTCAACGGCTCCGGAAATGTCTCTTCCATTAACCGGGCGGGGAAGTTGGCGCGAGAGAGCCAAAGCGCTCGGAACGGCGGTGTCGCGCGAAGCGCTTGGATTTTCGGATATTAACGCCCCGATTAATGAGCCGTAACCACGATTCTACGCTCCCTCTCTCTCTCTCTCTCTCTCTCTCTCTCTCTCTCTATCAATGCGCGATCCGCTCTCATTGCGTTTCAAGTGCTCGTAGCCGGGTGGTGAATTAATGATAATCGGCCGCGCCAATTGACTCGCCGCGCAGGTAAAAAGCGCCCGAGCAACCCGACGCGCTGATTAAGCTGCGATTAAGCCTCCCGTACATCACGCACGTCAACCGCGGCGACCGTCTACGTCTTGTTCTTGGCCGAGACGTTCCTATGGGAAACCATAGACGTATCATTCTTATCGTTTGTCAAATCAATGGCCCGTCCGCGTTGAGAATCCACTCATCGCGCTTGTCCATTGTCGTTAATCTTCCTCGAGCATCAGTCTCGTCGTAGTTCAATGTGGTTTCCGGACACTCCATTAATAATTACGACGATCGTTTTCTCACGGGGAAACAAGCTGGCCTTTGAGGAACGTATTAGCCGAGGTGGAATTGTAGAATTGGGGTCGCGAATGTGGGTAGGGTGATGTTCGCTTCGCAAAACGGGAGGTTTATGTGGATATTTGGGATCGTTAAGATCACACTGATGGAAAAATATAGTTGAATTAACTATAATCTCACTATATTTTATAGTTCATTTTGGCGTCAACCATATTTTTATAGTTCGTGGAACCTGCAAAATATAGTAGAATGAACACAAATATATAGTCAATGATTGTCTTAAATAATTGTTTAATTACTTTTACCACATATATGATAATTTCTCATTCACAAATATAGTGAGATTTAACATTCATATAGTTACATCTGTCATCATTTAGCAAATATTCTGGCAATATTGACTATATAAAAGAGTTACTTTACCTACCATTTTATGGATTTGTATCCATACAATAATTTTAGTTTAACTTACTATAATTCTTAGTAAAAATATTGTATGGTTGGTTATATTATGCCTATATCGTAATTATTACCGATGGTAATACTTACTATAAATATGATATTTCGGACTATAATTTAGTTACTATATCATTACAGTTCCAAATATCATATACTTTTCTCTCAGTGCAGAGAGTAGACCGCTACGTAGATCTGCTCGTGGACTCGAAGCAACCGCCGGTGGAGGACGTGCCGATGATCGGGAAAGTTAATAATCACGTAGCATAACGTTGTGTTAATGAGACACTGGCAATCATCGGCAAATATTTGCGTGACCGCTTTGTGACTCGATATAATCCGAAAGTAACTCATACGATCGAGCCGCGCCGTGCTATGGCGAGGCTGGGATATTTGTGGACCGGGCTATTTGCGATTCGCTTCGCGCCGGTTGTTTTGTGGCGTTTTGACGCGTCTGCGGAGAAAATTCGCGGAATAATGCACGCGTTAAGCGGCCGGGGCGATCGGTGCGATTCGGTGCGAGAAGCGAAGCGAAATTACATGTGAGTATTCACGCGCAGATCCGAGGCATTGCAAATCGACGCCGACGGACCCTGCGTTAACCTCGCACTCGTGCATGCACCGTCGCGCTTGTTAAAATGTATATATATATATATATATAATAGACGAATGCAACATGCATTTATTTAATATACACAAAATCGCTCACATTCTGGTTGCCATTGCGACCGCGGATTTGCGACTTATCCGGTTGATGGAACAGATGGCGATCCCTAAAAATGACCGGGGCGTGTGTCCATATTATCAGTTGCTCGTAGCTAGCGAACGGGGGGACAGACGGAGGACAGAAATGGGGGACGTAAAACGGAAGGAAGGAAGAGAGCCGCTCCGCTATTTGCCAATTGTGAAATGTAACAGAGCGTTGTCTCGTGGAAAGTGCAGCAGTACCTGGGAAATTTAATCTCGTCGTGTAGTAACTATCCGAGTCCACGGAGGTTAATATCGGCGTCGTCACGAACGCGTGGTAAGAGGAATAAACGATGTATAGCAGGCTGCTTATTATCAGGCAGTGTATCCCGATCCATACGATCCTGAAACAGACACGAATATCTCGATCGCGAGGCTCTCGCGTGTCACGACGCCCTCGATAAAATATAGAACCAGGTCGGTTCTTATTCGCTTTGTGCGGCGAACCGAGTCGCGCTCTCTCTCTCTCTCTCTCTCTCTCTCTCTCTCTCTCTCTCTCTCTCTCTCTCCTCTCTCTTTTGCCTCACAAATGCGCCGCGTTATGTTCCGGCGTTATTAATATTTCAGAACGACTCGAAACGAAAAGGACGAGCGCGAGCACCGGACAGCAAGGGATACGCGACACGATAATTCGTTCCTCCTGTCCCCTTCTGCCTTGCCCCTCACTACCCCCGTACCCTTCCTCGCCAGCGAGCACCGCCTAACGCGTTCATTACCGAATTCGCGCGGTGCTATTAACGTCACGTAACGTTACATTAAATCAAGCGGCGCGCCGCATCGCGACGTGACTCCGCCGTGCCGCGGAATATTATGCACCGCGGCTTTTTCCCCTGCTCCTGCCCCGACCCCGAAATCCTTGTCGTGCCTCCTAGAAAAGCGCACCGCGCGCAGCGTTTCACAGGACACGCTCCGTGATTTGTGGACGACCTGATTTGCGGCGCGACGCGGCGCGGCGCAAATCCAAGAATCCCACTTCCTGCGCGCGCCGCCGTTAATCTCGCGAGAAACGGCAATACGCTCGTTAAACCGTGCAACTTTAATCATACGTTACGCTTACACGATGCCCGGCCGAATGTGTGTAATTCTACGAGCTCGCGTCGTTTCATTAATCCGCGCGAGCGAGCGCGAGCGAGCGGCGGCTCGCGCGAGTCGCTTTTATCGTCGCTTTGATAAAGGTCCGATTAAATTGCGCATTGCGCTGGGTCTCGGGGGCCTCGGCAATTCTCACGCCGCTAAATGTGTAAATAAGATACAAATAAATCCGGCTTGAGCGAAGCTTCAGCTGGCCTTTCAGCAGAAGCCGCGACCGTTGTCGGACGCGCGACGTCCGCCGTATCGCGTGTGATTCCGAAGACGCGAATAAGACAGATAAGCTGTTTCTTAGGCGCGTTTCCGGGCGCGATGCTGCACGAAGAGCCGAATGAATAAGACGAGTACTTTTATAGGATTTAACAAAATCGAGCGAAGCAAATTCTTTTCCACTTTGTCTCGTACACGGGAGTCGCGAATTTAGTAGTAACAATTTGAGTTTATCCGCCTGAACCCCTTCCTCGAAAGAGAGGCTCTTGTGCGTTATCGAATCATAATTAAATCATCGCTATGATTATCGATTAAAGTCACGAGAGACAACTGGAAACTCTCATAAATAATACGACACATTCGCTTTATCCATTTGCCGCTTAAAATATGGAAACACTCGGCATACATAACATATACGCTTGGAGCTTGTTATTCATTGACGCGACGGTTAAAGAAAGCATAAACTGTTCCTTATTTTATAGTGAAGAAAAAATACCTTCAAAGTTTTCATTTTAACTTACAGAATACTTGGAGTAAGAAGTTTGACCAGAACTACAACTCCATTAACAGTTGATGCAGTTGTAGTTGCTTCTTTCTCCTCTCCCTCTCCCTCTATTGCTTTCTTCCCCCCTCTCCTCCTCCCTTTCTCTCTCTCTCTCTCTCTCTCTCTCTCTCTCTCTCTCACTTTCTAGTATGTGCACAAAATATTCTATAAGATAAAGTAGAAACTTTAAAAGTATACATTTTCTCCGACAAGAGTTTTGCCCCCCCCGCGTTCTTTCCGCTGTCACTATCGGAACTATTCAAACAGAAAAAAATAACACGTCGTGATAAGTATTTTTCGTTATTGATATAAAAATATTTTTGTGTTCGTAAACTGTTCCACTCGCCTGCACGCTAACCGATAGTGATACTGTAAGTACGTATAATCTTAGATATATTATAACCGCGCTGGGGTTACCTCTCGGGCCAAGTTCGGGAATTTGCGAGATACTTGATACCAGCTAAACTGGAATACTGGCAGTAAAACTTGAGATATTTCAATAGAACTTTGAAAAAGGAGCAGTGAAATTTCCTCCGTGATTTCCGCGAATTTCTCGTTGTCCACGCGTGTTTAACTTGATTCTTGGGTTTAATCCAATCTCCCTCGGCCCACATCGTGTAAACCCAAAGATCTATTAATTATGGCCTGTAATAATAAAGAATTATTGCGAAATATACCGTCCAGATTGCTGCAAAGTTTTTATTAAAACTCTGCATGTGTTCATCTTGTTATCCACGAGTTTGTAAAGTGAATTCAAGAGATACACATTAGAAAGAAATGAAGAATTATTAATTTTACAATTATGTTGAGATTTATGGAAGAAGCATACTTCCGGTCTCTATCTCTATGTACATTTGGCACACAGAGGGTTTAGCGAGGGAATATGAGCGAATAATTAACACTTTATCAGCAGATGACGCCACGTGTCAAGCCGAATACTGTCATCTGTTACGCATCACGCCAAAGTGCGTCAAATGAATATCGCATGTACGAAACGACACGAATGCACATATTCAATTTCAATTGTTGCTTGAGACTCGAAAAGGATCATCCAAAAATTTTGAAATTTTCCAGACCAGAGGAAAGACATCTGAGAAAACTAATCAGTTTAACAACTAATTGGTAGCAAAACGAAATAAAATGCGCGTGTTGCATTGAAAAGAAGCGTAAAAGTTCCATTATATATATATATATATATTCATTGACACACTTACCACGCGGCATTTGCTAGATACCTCAAAAGAGAAATCGCGATCACGATATATGTATAGACAAAAAGGACTCGATTGCGGATTCGTCCTCTCGATCGAGTCTACTGTTGTAATCCACACGCTTCGCACTTCGCTGCATTCGCGACGCTCGTTACATCCCCGAACCGAGACAAAATCTCAAGAATCACGAGGGACACCAAGTGGGCGGACAATTCGCAACGAAGAGGTTATTAAAAGTTCACGAGCGATCGCGCGATCATCGGCAATCTCTTTTCCCGTTGCAGCTGTTACTCTGGCCAGGCGCGCGATCAACAGCGGCCGCTGTACATACCGTGTATGTACCGCGGGGAGCGAAATTCCCGTAAGCGCAATTACACGCTGTTACAAGCGGCAACGTTATATCCCGAGCAGCCGCGAGCGCGAGCATCTAGGATTACGACTGGCGTCGTTTACATCGGGTGCCGCAGTAAAACCCACCACGGCCGCTCGTCCGTGCTTGTGTCGTCGTAGCCGTCGTCGTAGTCGTCGTCCTCGTTGTTGTGTCGTCGTACGTCTTGTGACGGAAGAGATCCTGACCGGGATCAGATCCGTATCTGTGGCCATCGTTCAATTATTATTCAGCTCCTTTGCTATCGCGTTCGTGATCGCGCTATGAAATTGCGCCGTTTGTCGCTTCCCGGGGACGTCGTGAATACTTTATAAATGTGTGGCACGAGCACCTCGCCGTATCGCCCGATATGATCTACTTCGTGGAGTAAAACGTAGTAGAATTGAAACTTGGATATTTTTAAAAGACCTCTTTACATACACATGGAGAGAGAGAGAGAGAGAGAGAGAGAGAGAGAGGGGGGAGGGGGCCTGAATTATTTATTTTAGATAAATAAGAGCCGAGCCACACGTTTTAAAGCACCTCCAAAAAGCACACATCGGCACATCAAGGTGTGTTTTAATAGCTTCCAGATAGAAACACACGAGAGTACGTGCATATTATTGCAAATAAAAATAACACAGATCACTTTTACGGCAACAATTAGCTGAGCGAGACGCAATCTCGCGAGGAATTGAGCTTCGCGTCGCCCGTTAATTACTTCCGCAAGCTATCAGGACAAGCAATATCCGCGACTCGTCAACATCGTCGGGCAGTGCCTGACAGGCCGTATTATAATCAGCAACTTTTAATGTTCCGTTGCGTCCTTTCTCTCCCCTCCCCCCTATCCCCTCGTCTACCTTTCTTTTCCTTAATCTCAGAAAACAGACTTGAACGTGTTCGCATTTATGAACGACCGCGTGCAAGGTGAATTACCGGCCTGCTACAAGCCGGTTTGCACTACTTGCGTCTGACCGCGGGTATTCAACGTACTCCACTTGGAAAACCGCAGCTCAAGGTGCGTCCGCGGTTCCCCAGCGCTCTACGACGCACAAAACGCACGTTCGTCTCTCTTCGGAGAGGACGCTTTGTATACGTGAGTCTACCGTTAACGATGCTCGTTACTTCGCGAATGTAAGGTACATCCGATCCCGACGTCCTACCTCAGGTTTTACGTAGCAGCATTTCTTACGATCGCGTACCTACGAAAATGCAAAGTAAACATCACGAGGTTCTCGAGATTTTATTCCACCTTTATCACGCTGCTTCAAAAAGAGCACATTTTAGAAAGGGTGGACAGAGAGACGTGATATTTAAATAAATTAATAACACACACATACACAAAAGGGCCTGCGCAATGAGTGAACATGGCGCGTAACAGAGCTGCGCGACAATAAATTAATGCTGTATTCTACGGAGGCACCGTCGACGTTTGCTCAAAAGCTCATTTCACTGAAAGCTGCTTTATGCATTTCGCAGACGAAATTTAATCCATCTACGGGTGAACGCGCGCGTGCCCGTTCATTTCGAAACGGTATGTGCATCACGAACGAGTCATAGCGGCAGTTACGAACTCTCCATGTTTGCGCACGCGTACCTGCTTGCTCTTGCTCACACATACACGTATACATACACACACACACACACACACACACACACACACACAGTATACATTTTCGGATGTTCTACTTTTAATCTCGTTTGTCCAAAAGCCCCGACGTCAGGCCATTAGTTGCTACGCGCGTAGGGGGTACGAGGGAGCTTATATCTGCGAGAAAGTTCGGTGCCGCGTTTGAATCCTAAGGAATCTCGACACCCGACATACGGCCGACGAGAGCGACGGACGGCGAGCGTTTTCACCGGGCCGAGCAACTCCGTAGACGAGATTCCATGTTTCACGCGGAAATATGTAGGTATACGCGCGCGCAACCAAGCGCCTAGCTCCAACTTCACGTAACACGCTCGATGTACGAATACCTTTGTCTCGCAACAACCGCCAGGGTTCATTGTAATTGACTGAAATTCGCGGAGCTGCCTCGCAACGCTATGATTGCGCATCCGGTTTATCTCGAGCGTGACGCGTGGTTACACTCGCTACGTATCCCTAATTGAAAACTCTTTGCGCGCACAAATGCAAGGGCCGCACAAAGGCGCGCCAGAGTGCGCCGGCAACTGTCGGATTTTTCTCATTAACGAGCACCAAACATGCGCGCGAAATATTCGCACAGCTTGGGGAATTCCGCCCACAACGGGGGAAACGGATCAAACGGATCGGCAATAATCCGAGGATCTTGGAGAAAGTCAACATTGCGGGAACAAACGCGAGACGAATGTCTCGTCTGCTGACGACGTCGTAAGATACTTTTTAGTTCAAGCATTCCTTCGCGAGCGTACACGATGACGTTTGTTCCCTTCGTATATTTTTTCCGCACTTTCGTTCAATTTAAATCGCCAACGGAATTAGCACGACCTGAGACGAGAGAGAGAGAGAGAGAGACTTCGTTTCTCTATAATTTTTGGTTTCCGGCTGAATTACACATATTTCGCAAGACTCGAGTTATTATCTGTACATCCGTCGCTCACGAATCCACCTGAACCACCGTGAAGATATCCTCTTCGAGCTACAATGGCGGGAAAATTGGAGAAAAATTTTACTATCGCAATATTACAATGGTAGCACATAACGACGGTAATATTAGTGCCTAACATAGTCGGCGCGACGTGACGTCTTTTCCGTCCGTCCGACCGACGTTCTCACGGATGTATCGCGGCCATTTAAGTATATTTTCGCTAATTAATCTCGAGATTAATTCGCGCTCACCAGCACGCCACACCAGCAATCCAATTTAAATCGCGCGCGTCGTAGCAGAAGGAAGACGAGAAGCAGGGCGGGCATAAATTGCGTGCAACAAGGCGAAATGGAAATTACATCGAGGAGAAACTCTCCTCGATGTAAGAGGCAGGGAGAGAGAGAGTGCGAGCAAGGAGAGGAAGAGACGTCTCCAGAGAAGGCAGAGTGCACCTCGCGAAGGCACTAAAGCGAATTGGTGGGTACCGCGCGCGCGCGTGCGACAATATACATCGAGTCGCGGTGTATATTGTAGTAACTGGTCCTTAGACCCAATAACTTCCGGTATGTACCTTTCCACATCAGGGTGCTGCGACAGCCGATGGCCGAGGAATTCTCGAATTTCATTCACCGAAGAGCGGGATACGTCACGTTCCGATAGACATTCGTCACGGAATCGAAAGGGAAGACTCCATATTGAAATCTACGCGCCGCCGACTGTTCGCCTCCTTTTAGAGGGTCAAGCGAATTCTTTCCGCACTGATAGAAAAATATATAGTTGAATTAACTATAATCTCACTGTATTTTATAGTTCATTTTGGCGTCAACCATATTTTTATAGTTCGTGGAACCTGCAAAATATAGTAGAATAAACACAAATATGTAGTCAATGATTGTCTTAAATAATTGTTCAGTTACTTTTACCACATATATGATAATTTCTCATTTACAAATATAGTGAGATTTAATATTCGTATAGTTCTGTCATCTGTCATCATTTAGCAAATATTCTGGTAATATTGACTATATAAATGAGTTACTTTACCTATCATTTTATGGATTTGTATCCATACAATAATTTTAGTTTAACTTGCTATAATTCTTAGTAAAAATATTGTATGGTTGGTTATACTATGCCTATATCGTAATTATTATCGATATTATGATAATACTTACCATAAATATGATATTTCGGACTATAATTTAGTTACTATGTTATTACAGTTCCAAATATCATATACTTTTCTCTCAGTGCGGACTCCTCTGATTTTCATATTGTGCATTCTCATATTAATCGTGCAATTTGTACGCGTAAGCGTGCGCATGGCGCCTCTTCCCGCCCTCCTTCGTCTCGGCTACTTGCTCGGGCTAACCGTATTGTTATCGTCGCGGATATCGATTCGTTTCCGTTTACGTACCGTTTAGCACACGCAATTTTCTATCTCGATAGAAGATCGCTCGGTCTCTCCTAGCAATCAGCTGGTCTAATTTGCTATGAGCTCTCGGAAAGTGAATTCGATCAAGATCAATTAATATCAGTAAAAGTTTCTTATCTCCGTTGTTCTTTGAGCTCTCTCTCTCTCCTCTCCGTTTTTCCGCTAAGACGTTAAACCAAACGAAGCGATGTATTTTCTTCGTAAAGTACCTTTTTTCTCGTTTCTAACGTAGACGATTTCGCACGATCGTTATTACTCTAATTATAGGTTGCTGTATAATTATGAATAATTAGTTTCTGAGCGGTTTTACGGATTATAATGCTTTTTTTATCAAGCCAATATGGATCGATCCCCTCCTGGTTCATTCCCGTTCATTCATCTCATTGCTCCCGGAGAGCGTGCGCAAAGATGTAATATCGCTAATGGGCTAATTAATAACGAGACATAAATGGAGAATCCGCTCGGTAATTGGAATGCGTCCGGTGCAGTAATACTTATTAGAGCTGTACGAATTAAAATTCACGCGATCGCGGCGGTTCCATATCTCGCGTCGATACATCGCGACGGGACCGACCGACGTAGACAGTGTCCGTTGTAACGCACCGACCCCATACGGAAACTTGTTTTTTGCTCTGTGCCATTTGCATTTTAATTCTGTAATAATTATTCACGGTAACCTATAGCTTTACCGACGCGTTACAGCTTTGCGTTGAATTTAAAGAGGAAGCGAGGAAGAGAGAGAGAGAGAGAGAGAGAGAGAGAGAGAGAGAGAGAGAGAGAGAGGACTTGGCGACGAGACGTTTCGTGCGCGCGCTGGGACACAACGGTGCGCGTCAAAAATTAATCTCAGCCGTACTTTGTTGCAGCCCCGTCTCACGGGCTGAATACGGAATGGCGCTTTTTGCGAATATGCTAATCGTTGAAACTTTGTGGAACTAGCCGGGACGAAGAGAAGGGGAGAAGATTAAGAGAATCACGCGGCTCACTTTTCCATACGTAGAGCGACACCCGGCGAAGAGACGAAGGTACAGTCGCCGGCGAGGAAATTCGTTTGGAAACGCATCGGATGTTATCGCACTCGAGACACTATTGAGGATCGTGAAACGTCGTCGTCGTGAATAATTTTCGCTTTCCTTCCGGCGCTTTCTGCGGGCAATTTTGTAGCTTCCTTTTGAGCTTTGAACTCGGAACTGAAATGTCTTTCTGCACCTCCGAATCAAAATTTTCTCAT